GGCATGTGGATTTTCAGGGTGAAGCGGCCGCCGGGTTCTTCGCCTGTCTTCAAGGCTCGTTACGTTGCTCGAGGTTTCAGTCAGCGAGAGGGAGTTGACTTCTTCCGGACTACGAGCTCCACTGTCTTGACTTCAGCACTGCTTTCCTACAGGGCAGCCTGCACGAGGAGATCTGGCTGCGCCGCCCACCTGGCTTCACTGGGTCGTTTCCTCCTGGTACCCAGTGGAGCCTCCGGCGGCCGGTCTACGGTCTCCGCCAGGCGCCACGTGAGTGGCACGACACACTGAGGACGACACTTGCGGCTCTTGGGTTTGCTCCTTCGACTGCTGACCCGTCGCTGTTTCTGCGCACCGACACTTCGCTGCCGCCGTTCTACATCCTCGTGTACGTCGACGACTTGGTCTTTGCCACTGCTGACACTGAGGCTCTCGCCCTGGTGAAGTCGGAGCTGCAGAAGAGACACACGTGCACAGACCTGGGTGAGCTGACAAGCTATCTTGGCTTGCGGATCACCCGGGACAGAGCACGCCGCACCATCACACTGACTCAGTCACACATGGTGCAGCAGGTCCTTCAGCGCTTCGGCTTCACCTGGTCCTCGGCACACGCCACTCCTCTGGCTACAGGTCACTCGCTCTCAGCTCCACCTTCGGACGAGTCCGTAGAGCCGAGTGGTCCTTACCCAGTGCTAGTGGGCTGCCTCATGTACCTGATGACCTGCACTCGTCCTGGCCTTGCGTACCCTCTTGGCCTTCTGGCTCGCTACGTGGCTCCTGGTCGGCACCGAAAGGTGCACATGGATGCTGCTAAGAGGGTACTACGCTACTTGTGCAGTACATCGGGCATGGGGCTCGTGCTTGGAGGACGGAGCGACGTAGTTCTCACTGGGCACTCAGACGCTTCTTGGGTTGACGACCAGGCTACGCAGCGGTCGTCACAGGGTTACACCTTCAGCCTTGGCTCTGGCTCTGTTTCTTGGCGGTCTACACGTTCGTCTTCTGTTCTCAGCTCCAGTTGTGAGGCTGAGATCTACGCCACAGCCATGGCTGCACAGGAGTTACGCTGGCTCACCTACCTGCTGACCGACCTGGGAGAGCGGCCTCGTTCTCCTCCAGTGCTGTACGACAACAAGGCCGACATTGCCTTGTGTCAGGAGCACAGACTGGAGAACAGAACGAAGCACATCGCTCTGCGTTACTTCCTGGCTCGAGAGTTGCAGCAGCGGGGTCAGCTTCGCCTTGCTCACGTGGCCACTCGGGCCAACACTGCTGATATATTCACCAAGGCACTTCAGTCTGGTGACCATCAGCGCTTTTGTACTTTGTTGGGCCTTGTGCCTACGTTTCCACACTTGCTGTAGTTTTCTGCTTGTACTGTGATCTATATATATATATGCCTGCATGCTTGCTCTTGCTAGATAGAGATCACTGTGCTGTTCTTGTTGCTTATATACCTCTGTCTGTGGACTGGCCTTGTGGCCGTTTGCTTGTGCTCAGTGTGTGTGGTGACATTGTGATCCACCCTGAGCTGTGTTTTGTTTCTTGCTTGCTCTGGCTATCCCCCATTTCGACTATGGGGGTGTGTTAAAACATATGCATATGATTGTCTAGGCTATATTGGGGCTAGCCTTAGGGGGTACACAAATATTCTCGACACCCTAGTCTTGTACCCCCAACTTTGACCTAATTCATCATTCCCTTGCCTTAGTCTCGACAAGGGGTCGGGGGCAGCAGCTGCTGCGGCTGCTGCTGCTGCTGCTGTTGCTGCCGCTGCCGCTGCTGGTACTGCTGCTGCTGCCGCTGCTGCTACTGCTGCTGCCCTCGAGGGCCAGTGTGAAGGGTGTAGAGACCAGAGCCCGGCTCAGCGGTAAAGGTGGCCAGAGGCGCGTACGTGTCACCGTCTACACAGACCGCAGTCTCCCCAGAAGGCTCAATCCAAACACCCACGTGACTACTCACGAGCGGCCTCACACCCACCAATTTCCTGGAGAACGAGGAGACGTGGAAGCCCGTCAGGAAACCCGAGGGAACAGCTGGGCACGGAAGCGTAGTAGTGTAGCGAGCAGTGACTGGTCTTGAAGTGGGATCAGCCAGTGCTACAGAGACCGGCGCAGGAAGCGGAGTAAGCATCGTGTGGTCGCGGAAGAAACAGTGCGAAGCTCCGGAGTTCTGAGTGAAAGACAGCGAAGTGTCCTCCGGAGCAGGTCCTAGACTAGTGTCTACACAAGTACCTACGCTAGCAACAGGCACCTCAGCAACACTAGCACCTAAGCTAACAACACTCGAGTAAACAGATTCAGAAGCACTAGAGTCAACAACAGCATACATAGCATGAGGAGTTCCTAACAGATCAAGCATCTGAGAAGCCGACGTGCCCCACAGAGTGGGGCCGTACGTCTGAACAAGGGGAAGCCAGTCAGGGGCAGGGCCGCCAACGCCGTAGGCCGCACGAAGTGTGTCAGTGAGCTGAGCAAAGCACTGACCCGGTGGGTGGGTGCGGCCACAAGGGAGGCCTCGGCGAGCACCTGTCTGAACGAGATAGGTGCAGTGAGGGTGGATGGCACCACGCAACGGTTGACGCGGTCCTGACCCCTGCCCCGGAGTCTGCTGCTGCCGCTGCTGCTGCTGTGGCTGCTGCGAGAGGAGTGGCTGCTGCTGCTGCTGCCCTGAGTCAGGTACCAAGCCGCCACTCCAGCACCTGCAGCTGGTGAACCAGCAAGTGCCTGACGAACCCGAGCGTCACCTCCACCAGCTGCAGCAGGGGAGTCACTAGCCGCTGCACGAGTGGCTCATCCAACCTCTGTACTCCCGCCACCACCGCTCGCCATGCCACCTCCGCCGCCTCCGCTACCTCCGCCCGCACCCTGACCACCCCTCCTGCCACTCCTACCCCTAGACCGCGAAGAAGTCGTAACAGCAGCTGCGGTTACGTCAGTAGCGGCAGTGGCGAGGGAGGCAGTAAAGGTGGGCAGCTGAGGGACAGTGCACCCGTGAAACAGTGGAGGGGGCACAGCACCAGAGGCGGAGGCTACCGATCGCAGGTTGCTCTCGACGTCCTTGAGGGCAGACTCAAGGACCTCGATAGTGAGCTCACTAGGGTGCTTCAGAAGAAGCGCGTCACGAACCGAGGCAAGGCGCTCAGGGAGGCTAGTGGCGATGAAATAGATAATAATTGCCATAGGGGGAGGGAGCAGTGCAAGTTGTGCGTCAGTGCAGGCAGCGCGGTAGCTAGAATCGAGCGAGCGCATGTGAGCGATCAAGTCAGCAGAGCGCTCAAACGAGGCGAGGTCAGGAAACAGGAACGGGAGGAACAGGCGACCAAGAGAGACAGTGGTGGGAGTAGCGTAGCGGGCCTTGATCGCAGTCAGGAACTCACTAGCCGTGCGAACCTGAGTGAAGTGGGTCTCCTCAGACTCAGGGAGGAGGCTGCTGAGGGCGATGCAGGCCGTAGCGTCACGCGACTTCCACGCTGTCAGGTCAGCACGCTGGCGGGCATAACGGTATCTGTATGCACTGCTTGGGTCAGCGCCTAAGGGTGCAGGGTTGTCGGGCTTAGGAAGGTCACCGGAAGCGTGCGCCCACAGAGACTCATCTGCCTGAACCTGACTCTCTAAAAGGCGGCGCGCACGCAGGAGCCAGACCGAGAAATCGAGCGGCCTACCCTCGGAGTCAAAGCGCAGGACCCTAGGGGTCGCCATAGCGGAAGCAAACAGGTGGGAACAGCTACTGCCGAAACCCTAAACGCCTAAAGGGCCTGCGTAGGGCGTGACAGGCAATGCGTGAGGCTCAGGGCATGGCAGAACGGCAGGGTAGGGCGCGACACGGCAAGATGGGCAGCGCGGCGCTAAGGGACAGGACGGGCGCAGGGCAGAACGGGACGCGCGCGGCAAGCAGGACGGGCGCAGGGCAGGACAGGACGCGACGGGGGACGCGACGGGGGACGCGACGGGGGACGCGACGCGACGGGGAAAGCGGGCGCTAGGGAACGGTACGAGCGTGACTAATACTAGGGTACGGGACAGGCTCGGGCGTTACGGACGTGAGCGGGAGGAACGGGATCCCACATGATCCGAACCTAGGTGATACCATGTCAAGAACTGAATTGTGATGTCACTAAGGTTGGTTGGGGTACATAAACCTAACCCTAACTGTTGTACCGCATATGGCACACATCACTAAGACAATTACATTTGACACATTCATAAACCCGGACCTGCGAGGATCCTTGCTACTTGACGGTCCCTTAAAATTTATTCACTTAGAAACTATTCCTGGTCTTGCCAGCAGCTGCTCTCAGGGGGGGAGTGCTCATTTACACGCATCCTCTGGGATTGCTTGATATTGTCCCAGATGTTTTATAGCTATGTTCTACAAGTAGACCTTACTGGGTTAAAGCCCGAGTCTAGAATGGCAAGTGTTCAAGTTCAAGATTCTTGAACATGATTTCGTCAGTGAACAAGGTAACCCGCTTTTGTGTGGGGCTCTCTCGCGATCCACTGTGAAGGTGTTTGGAGCGCAGTAAAATGATTGGCCAAAAGCACAACAGCAAAACCACTCTAGACACTCGCCAGAACAAACAAGAACCGGGGCCACTCACTGTTCACACTTCCGGAAACTTGAAGCTTCAAGCTACCTTTCTAGACTCGTTGAGTAGTAGGCTCCGTAGCCCACAATATCGTTAGCTACCGATAACTACGCCGAGCACCCAGGATTTTGTAATGGGACTTCTGTCCGTTTGCATAGTTTAGGTCTCCACCGTCCCTCACGTAACGCCCATTTCATCCGATCTCTCACGGTACGCGCAAATATATCTCATACACCATCTAATACGTCGTACCCGCCGCACCCGCTTCTCCAAATCGCACTCGTAGGTCCCGTCTCGCTAGTTGCTCTCGTCGTACCCGCTCCCACCGTCGCCCTCGTCGCGTCTGTCCTAGTCGCCGCGCCCGTCACTCCCGTCCCGGTCGTGTCTTCCGTCCTTCCTCCAGTCTCCCCCGTCCATGCCGTCGCCCAGCACCCTCCGTCCCTTCCGTCGCGCGCTTCGCTTCCGTCCCGCATTCGCTCCTGCCGTAGCGCGTGTCCCTCCCGTGCCTCCCTTCCCTCTCCGCCGCTCGTCATCCGTCCCTCATTCGCATCGCTCACTCGATTCGTCGCGCACTCCCCCCGTCGCACTCCCTGCCTGGACCGCATCCTTTCAGTTCAATGGCTCTGCCATCGGTTCCTCGTTGCGCTTCTCCGCGTCTTCCGCCACCCACGCTTCCGCCTGCGCCACTATGCTGGCGGACGACCTAATATGCACGCAGGGAATACGCGCGCAGCAGCGGCGGAAGCCCTTGCGCTCGCGCTCGCAGAGCGCTGCCGAGGAAGGACACGGGGAAAAGGGAGGTTGAGACAATGGGAAAAACGGAAGGGAGCAAGAGCGCGCTCGCAGGCCGTTGCCAAGGCAGCCGCCGAGTTGTCGCTATCTGAGCTGGCGAGCAGCATGGTGGTGTGGTAGACGCTCCAGAATCCGCCTTCTCCTTTCCCTCTCAGCCCCTCTCCTCCTTTCCCTCTCAGCCCCTCTCCTCCTTTCTCCCTCAGCCCCTCTCCTCCTTTCCCTCTCAGCCCCTCTCCTCCTTTCCCCCTCAGCCCCTCTCCAAGTGCAGGAAGCAGAGCAGTGCTGGAGCGGGGGCTTTGCTCGCTGCATGCAGGTGCGCCTCAACTTCCCTGATCACCGTCCTGCCTCCACTCTCACCGTCCTGCCCTCCCCCCTCACCACCCCGCTACCAGGTCGGCGCTGATCGACCTCTTTGCTGGCAGTAGTGGCGGTGGAAGTGTGGCAGGAGGGAACGGCAGCAGCAGTGGCATGGGGAGTGGGTGGAGCAGCAGTAGCATTCCCGCGATGCCTCTCCCACGCCTCCTCAGGGTTGTGCCATGGGGTGGGGTGGGTGCCGTGGGGTGGGCACTCCCGGGTGGGGTGGGCGGTCCCGGGTGGGGTGGGCGGCCCCAGATGTGCAGGTAAGGGTTATCCGCTGCAAGGGCCTCCCTGCCTTCCCGCCTCTCTGCACCCCCCCATTCCACCCCATCCTCCTGCCACGCGCCTCACCCCATGCACGCCACCTCTTCCCGTCTCCCTTGTCCTGCCCTCCTTTTTTCCCCTAGTCCCTCCCTCACTATCTCCTTGTCCTTCCCTCATGTTTCTCCGTCTTCCTTATCCCATTTCTGCCCATCTCCACCCGCTCTTTCATCCCATCACCCTCCCCTCCCTCTCCCGTACGCACTTCTCCCCACTCTCACACGCGCTGCTGCCCCTTCCGTACGCGCTTCTCCCCACTCTCACACGCGCTGCTGCCCCTTCCCTCCGCGCTGCTTCCCCACTTCCCCTCCCACTCACCGTTTCACCCATTCCCTTGCACCTACAGCCCTTCTCCTCCTTTCGCTCGCTTATGATTTCCACCCTTCCGTTTCTGCCCGCTTTTCTCCTTTCCTCTGTTCTCATTCCCACCATTCCTCTCCTCCTTTTCCTGCAAGCCTAATGTGGCAAAGAAATCACCTCATTCTCCACTCTCGTACACTCTCCAATCTCTCATCACCTCTCGCTCTACGCTGCTTCCCCACTTCCCCTCTCACATACACCCACCCAGACACCCCTCTCCACCCCACCCCCCCCCCCCCCCCCCCACCCCGCCCCATCCCCCCCCCCCCCCCCCCCTCCGCTTCCCCTCACCCTCCTCCCTTTGCTCCAAACCCCCTTCCTCGCCATTTCATTTCCCACTTCCCTGGTGGCAGTTGGAACGGCAGCGCAGGGGGACGCAGCGAGCAACACACGTGCTCCTCTCACCCCACCTGCCCACACTCATCCTCCTCTTCCCCCCCCCCCCCCCCCCCCTTCGTCGCCATCTCCTCCCTCCTCTCCCTCCTCTTCTCATCACTCGTTTTTCCCCTCCCCTCTGATCTCGGCCCTTATTCCACACCCCTCCCCTTCCTTGTCCTCTCGCCCCTTCCCTTCCTTGTCCTCTTCTCCCTTGGCGTCTCTCTCCGCCCCACTCCTCTCTTCCTCTCCTTACTCACTCTCTTCCCCACCCTCTTTCCTTCTTGCTACCCGTGTCCGCTTGCTTGTTTCACACTCCTGGGTTTTCTCAAATTGGGTCCCTGACTTGTGCCTGCAGCACCACCACTCACCTTTCGTGGTTGTGAACCGGACGAGTGGTAATTGGGACGAGGTGGATTGGACAAATTTATTTAGGAAAATTTGGTCATGTCCTTGGTTGCAGTTATTGGTACTAGTATTGATTCGCGGAACTGTTTCGTAATGAACAAAAGTGCAGGTCGTTTACAATTACCCACACATAAATAGTATTACGGTACACGGTGATGCCAATTCTGAGTTGATACCAAATATGTACAAGCTTTCACATAAGTTGTATATTTTGTAAAGCATTTTGTAACACCCTTGAGAGTCACTCACACAACACAGTTCCGAAGTTCAGATGCATCCACCCATGTGGCAGTCGTCAAGATTCTTGAACTCGAAAGCAGTCAAACAGTAAGCTGTCCAATGGGCAACAAACTCATCACCCTTCGCCACCCTTGTTAGGCGAAGTTTGCCTTCGCCAACATTCGCCAACATTCTTTCAACTTCAGTATTTATGAAAATTTGCCATTCTAGACTTGGGCTTTAACAGAATTGCAGAAGCGCGCATAGAATCAGGGTGTGTTCTCGGTATGGGACCTGGCTGGGAACCCACCAACCACACCGACCGTACTGGCCCTGCTCTACTTGGTAGTGCCAGACTTGAGCATTGTTGTTCCCCACATTGAGACGAGACGAGGCGCTGCAGGTGTCATTTAGAGATTGTTCGCGCTTCGAGTTGACACCAGGCAACCTTCGTGTAATCCACGTGGCATTGCAGCAGAGGGCATGGGGCACACCGTCAAGGACGCACGCCTGGGGAGAGACAGGGCTGGTCAGGTCACCGACGTAACCAAGGGACACACCCAATTGCTTGCGTCACCGAGTCGCTTGAAGGGTCACATAGGGGACTCAGATTTCAGAAGGCTATCTGCCTCATCCAGCCGTTCATCTGCACTTAGTGACTTCCATCCGTTCGATCTTCCCTCCCAACCACACTGCTCCTTGATTCCATCCCACTCCCACCATCGCTCCTCCTCTCGCTCAAAAGCGTCAGCACTCGAATCCTCCTTCCACACCTCCGCTAGCTCCTTCCGAATTCGGCCTTTCCCTCAACTGCTCTCCCTCGAACGAGCCACTTTTTCTTACGTCACAGCGACTATGCGGCACGCCGTGGTGCACTCTCCAGGAAAGGCCGACTGCCGCACCTTTCGTGGCAGGCTGCCTGCCTGTTGGCTTATCGAACTCAATCGTCAATTTCTGGTGTCTCCCCGTGCCGATCATTCTCAATCCCCTGTTTCTGTTTCTCCTCGCCTCTCAGCTGTGACCACCTCTCGTCGCGCACAATGCTCTGTTCTCTACATGAAAAGGGAAAAACGCGCTCTTCGTACCACTCTTCGCCCATCTTGTGTCGGCCGCGTTAGCTTCGCCCTAGCCGTAGTGACGTTGCGCGGACGGGTCCTCGCCCAGTATTTCTCCATTTGCCGAACGATTCGGAATCCCCGCAGATAGAGTAGTTCGATTTTTACGCTCGACGGTGCTGACCTCGCCGTCGACGTCGCTCGCCGCTGAGCACGCCCATGATTGCCACGGCCGCGAAAGCCACTCGCTGCTGCCAGTCTGAATGGTGGAAAGTGATCAAGGGGTCACGATAGAATTCGCCTTTGGTCTCGCACGAACTCGAGGAGAGTTTTGAAGTCGCCAGATCGACAAGCTGGATTTGCCGATCCTCCATCCGTTGAGTGCGCGGGAAGTTGTGCCAGCAGCCTGAGATGCGCGATTGAGTCCCATCGCGCGCGACACGCTCGTCTCGACTTCAAGGTCGCTGCCTCACGTGACGTCATCGCACTTCGAAAACGCGGGCCGCAGGGGAATCTGGGTGCTCGCACCTTATCGCCGACGCGAGGCGCGGCGGCTAGCCCGCGGGCGGGGACGAAGGTATCTGCGAGCAGCCGCGACACGAAAACTATGAGAAGAAGTGGAGGCACGGGGAGGTACGAGGAGACGGCCGCGGCGGAAGGAACGGCAGATGACGGAGAGCGGTACAAGGCGTGCGACTGCGCGCGCTGGCCGGTCGCGCTGGCGCGTGCCCTGTCTCTGGACGGCGCCGTCATGCGTCGGCGACTTCCTGGAGACGAGCGGAGGTGTCGGTGGGGAGCGAGACGAGTGGACGTGGGAGAGTGCCATCGCCGTGCATGCAGAACGCTTCCCCGTCGCCCAGTCGCGGCCCACGTCAGATGGGCGCGACGGTGTGTGGCGGCGTGGGAGAGCTGGAAAGCGCTCGACTGCGCGGGGAGCGTGGGTTCGAGTGAGCGGCGCGCACTGAAGGAAGTGTCACGCCCTTCGCGCGTTACTTGCACTGCCCCGTTCCCACTCCTGCTACTACCAGCGCTTCTGGCGCTGCTGTCTCTGACGCCCGCGCTCGCAGCCCCGCTTGACGGCGTGCGGACGGGCATGCTTGAGCAAACGGAAGCGGGGTGGAGCACGCGGTCCCATTGGGAGAGGTGGCGGCACGTTCAACTTGAAGGAGGGGCGGTGGCGCATGCTGCGGGAGAGCGCAGGCGTGTGTACGTGCTGCCCGCGGAGTCCAACACACCCCGACCACACGCCGCGGCGCCGTACCGTCAGCTCGTGACAGCGGCTCCCCCAGCCCTTGCGCCCGCAGCCCCCCCGGTCTACGGCAGCGCCGCAGCCCCCAGTACCGGCGGCAGGGGTGCGGCCGGGGGTGAAGCCTCAGGGGCAGCAGTGGCGGCGGCGATTCCGGACGACAGGGCGAGCGTGCTGCCGTGCCCCATGGTCACCAGCACCACGCAGGAGGGAACCGACGATAACAGCGCGGGCGGTGGCGGTGGCGGTGGCGGTGGCGGTGGCGGTGGCGGTGGCGGTGGCGGTGGCGGGCTTGGCGGCGTGTTGAGTCTGCTGAGAGTGGTGCAGGCGGGCGATGGCGGAGCGGACGAGGGGGACGAGGCGGCAGGGCAGCGCGGCAGCCTATGGCGGGTGGACCCCATGGACGGGTTCAGGCGGTACGGAGGGCCGTACAACGTCACCAACGTGCACTACTGGGCGGTCAGTGCCCCGCCGCACGCCCTCACGCCTCGCATGCTTCTCCAAGCACCACTCAAAGAAGCCCTCATCCCTAGTAAAATCCTTTCCTCTTTTCCTTCCCTTTTCTCTTCCCCTCTCCCCCCCCACCTTCCCCTCCTTGCGTTTCCTTCAGTCCGCAGCGTTCACTGGGTGGTGGGCGGCAGCAGTTGGCGTTATCCTGTGCCTGCTCGGGATTGTGCTGCTCGTTCTCGTGCTCTGCCTCCGCCGCCCACTGGGCTGCTACCAAGTGCCAACCCTAAGGAAGGGTGCAAGGGCACGTGTAGCAGCGGCAGCATCAGCAGATGGACGGGAGGGCCCTGTGGGGGCAGAGAGGTTTCCAGAAAGAGGAGTGGAAAGGGGGCAATTGACTGGAGGGTGGGCTAGCAGAGGCGAGCGCTCAGCGGTGGCATCTGCTGCAGCTGGTGGGGCACGCACCGCGGAGGCGAGGGCTGGGGGGCTGGAGGCATGCGTGCAGGGACACAAACCCATGTCACCTGCCTCGGGTCCTCAGTGGGCCCATGTTGACATGTGCACTCCCCCCACCGCAGCATCGCCCGTGGCAACACGGGTGAGTGCACCAGACATGGGCGGCAGTCTCGCCATCACCAGATCCGCCTCCTCCTCGCTCTCCTCCTTCTCCTCCTTCTCCTCCCCTCGCACCTCCTCCGCTTCCTCAGCCACCCGCCCCTCCGTCTCCTCCTCCGTCTCCTCCTCCTCATCTGCTTCTTCCTCTGCGCCTTTCCTGTCTCTATCCACTGCTGCTTCTGCTCCAATCGGCCTTCGCCACGTGGCATCTGAGCTGTCAGTCCCGTGGGAAGGGGAGGAGTGTCAGGCATGGGGGCACGAGGAGAAGCAGACTTGTCAACGGGGGCCGGAGGAGGGGGTTAGCAATACGAGCGGCAGCGGCATTGTGGCAATGGCACGAGGGGTAACAGGGGCAAGTCAAGGAGAAGGAGGGGTGGTTGCAGAGGGAAGCGAGAAGAGGGGATGGGGGCGAGCGGTGCGAGTGGGGTGGCAGGTGGTGCGGTGGGTGCTGCTGGCTGCCAGCCTGCTGTTGGCCATGTGAGTGCGGTTCTGCTCATGCGTGCCTCTGCCCCGCGCTTGCACCTCGTACTCTCCTCTTAACCCTCGCTCACCTGTTCCCGTGCTGCTACTCTGCTCGCCACATCCTTGCTGCGTGCATCCGTGTCGCAATATTTCATGGCCTGCACCGCTCTTAAGTTGACCCCTCCTCGCAGCACCAACCCTTGTGCTTACACCCCATCCCACCCCTCCCCTATGCCCTCCCCTCACCTCTCTCCTCACCCCTCTCTCTCTCCCTCCCCTCCGTGCCATGGCACACAGTGCGGCGGTGGGAGTGTCGCTGTACGCGTGTGCATCGTTCCGCCCCATAGCGCAGCACACGAGGGACACGGTCACCACCAGCATCGCTGCCGCCATCACCAAGGTACCGCCTGCCGCCCCCCTGCTGCTGCTGCACCGCCCATGTGCCCGCTTGCACTTCCGTGCGTGCGCCCCTCGTCCCCCATCACGCCTAACGGTACTGCTACGCGCGCCAGCACAAGGAGCTGCAGCGCCCCTTGCGCCCTGCGTGACTGCATGTGCGTGAGCCATTTCCGCGCACCTTACCCGTTGCTCCCCTCCACGTGTGACCTGCTCTGCTCCTCTCCTCGCCCTCCAGCCCCGCTCTCGCGTTGCCCTCGTCACCCATCCCAACCCATCCTCACCCCCCTGCGCACCACCGTCACCAGCTGGACTACATGTCGGACACGCTGACAGCAGCCTACGCGGTCTTCAACCGCACGCTCTCCGACCCCTCGCTGCTGCTGCCCGCTCAGCCACCACCAGCGCAGGTGCAGGCACAGCAGAAACAGGAGCAGCAGGGCTGGGCGTGGGCATCACCCGAGAGTGGCAGCGGTGGTTCCGGGAGCAGCGTGCAGGGAGGCAACGCAGGCGGTGCAGGCAGCAGCGGCAGCAGCAGCAGCAGCAGCAGCAGCAGCAGCAGCAGAGGAAGTGGTGTGATGAGCAGCAGCAATGGTCCGTGTGGTAGCAGTAGCGGTGGCAATGGCACAGCAGGGGGGTCGCAGCAAGGCTGGGGGAACACAGTGGGGCGAGTGGGGGCCGAGGGCAGCGGGAACGGCAGCGGGAACGGCAGCATGGATGCGGCGTCGATCCTGGTGTTTGCTCGGCGCGCTCTGGTGTCCGTGCACACACTGCAGCGCCAGGCGCACGAGCTGGAGGGCACGGTGGACCGCGTGGCACACAGCGCCCTCTCCATCACCAACACCACGTCCGTGCCTCCCGAACGCTCCCCCCCACCCCTCTGCTGCCTGCCCGCCTCTCCACCCGCCTGTCTGCCTGCCTGCCTGCCTGCCTGCCTGCCTGCCTGTCTGCCTGCCTGCCTGCCTGTCTGCCTGCCTGCCCGCTTGTCTGCTCGCCTCTCCACCTGCCTGTCTGCCTGCCTGTCTGCCTGTCTGCCTGCCTGCCTGCCTGTCTGCCTGCCTGCCTGCCTGCCTGCCTGCCTGCCTGCCTGCCTTCCTCGCACTCCTCCCAACTCCCCCCTCCTCCCTGTCGTGCCAGTTGGTCTGAAACGTTGCTCTCGATCTTAGAGTCTCTGCACTAACCCTAACTTCACGCCACAAAGCCTGCTCTCCAGGCTGCCTCTCGTCCTACCCCTATCTCTACCACCCATTCATTTCTCCAATCGCCTCCCAAATCCGCCCTCCCCATGCGCCCCTCCCCATGCGGCCCTTCACATGCGGCCCGTGCAGTCTCATATCGCTCATGGTTGCTTCCTGCCTCCTGCTGCTGCTCTCCGTTATCTCCGCTCTTGGTGGGTGTAGATGGTGGTGAGAGAGTGAATGCCGAGGTGTGGGAAGTGAGTGCGGGGGTGTTGGGGAGGTAGATGGGGGCTGAATGTGGGGGGTTGGGAGGATGGAGAGTGGCAGAGGTGCGGAGGGCAGTGTGGCGGCCATGTGCTCGCGTCACTCCTCAGGGCGCACACACCGCACCACACCGCACCTCATACCACAATGCCTCAAAGCCCCAACCCCCCACTCACCGCACGCCACCATTTGCGTCCATGCCATTCCCCATCCCTCCAAACCACCTGCCTGCCCCAATCCTTTCGCCTCCCCCACCGCTCGTGCCACGCCCTGCGTATCCTTCCCTCTACTCATGCCCTTCCCTCCCTCCCCACCACTCCCTCCCTCCCTTCCTCCCTGCGTGTGCGCGCTGCAGTGTCGTGCAGTGGCAGGCGGCAGTACCTGGCGGTGCACCTCCTGTGAGTGCTTCTCATCGCCCATTCATCACCCCTTGCTCCTTGCGCTGTGCTCCCGCCTTCCGTTTTGGTCAAGTATGCACGTGAGAGCATGCAACGGACACTCGTCCCCTCCCTCGCACTCCCCTCACTATTCGCCCCTCATTGCACCGCTCCTCCCTCCCCACTGCTCGCATGCTCCCCATGCGTCCCACCCCAGGAGCATGGGCGTGCTGCTCGCGCTGCTGCTGTGCGCGTGGCTCCTCGCGGCCGTCTTCTCCTCTGCGCGCCTGTGAGTGCGCGCACCCACCCCGCATCCCTCCTGCTTATGCGCGCGCGCCTGCGCTCGCCATGCGGCTTGACTGCTTATGCGCCCCGCGCACGAACATTCACACTTTCCCCATCCCAAGTGCGCCTCAAAACTACCCCCGTTACTCAATATTCTCCGCTCTTCCATGCCCTCCCTTTCCGCCTTCCTCCTGCGCGAGCAGCATGCTGCGCGACTCCTGCGCCGAGATGGCTCTCTACGCCGCCACCCCCGCCGCCTCCACCCTCGCGCCGCTGCTGCCCTGCATCAACCCGCGCGCGGCGCGCATCGCGCGGGTCAACGCGGCGCGCGGCGCGAACCAGCTGGTGGGATTCGCGAACGCGCAGATCGAGAGCGGCAACGCGGCGCTGGGGGGGCTCTCGCGCATGCTGCGCTCCGCCGGGCTCTTGGAGTCCAGCGCTCCGAGGGGAAGCGATGCCAGTGGCGCGGGTGGTGGCGGAACGGCTGTGGCGAGCAGTGCGGTGGACGGGGCAGGAGGGGCTGCGCGCGCAGGGGTGCTGAGAGGGCGAGGGTCGAGCATGGGAATGGTTAGCAGCAGCAGCGTTGCGGAGGCGGGTTCAGGAGGAGGGAATAGTGGAGCTGCTGTGCCTGACGCAGTGGCACGCACAGAGCAGAGCAGCACCGCCTTGAGCCCTGGCAGCAGCAGCAGCAGCAGCAACAGCAGCAGTGGCGGGGATCGTGTGATTCCACTGCTGTGCCCGGTGTTCAACGAGAGCAGCAACCTCGCTCCCGCTGTGTGCCCTGCCGGATACGGTTCCGTACGCTCCTTTGAACAGGTGAGACCAAATTTGCTCCTCAAGTGTGCGGTGCTGAGAGTGGGGGCTGTTGTGAAGGTGCATTCTCATCCTCACATCCGCATTCTCATCACACAATGCTGCACTACTGCTCTACACCTCGTGGTCACACATTTGCAGCACACAGTACTGCTCGTGTGGGATGCGGGGATAGGAATGGACCACCTGTACTGGTGTACAAGGTAATCACGTGTTATGCTCACCTGCTGCCTCCTGTCCACCTCGCTGAGTTCCCCAAACACCGCCTCTGCCCATGCCCTCTGCCCCTCCCCCGTAGGACTACGCGGCATACCACTGTGAGTCGGAGAACCCTGTAATCTGTGTGCGGCGAGGCACGCCCATCCCCAACTCCTCATACCACCTGCTTGCCAGTGCTGCTGCTGCCACCGCCAGCGTGGCAGACCTGGTGCCCGACATGTACGACCTGGCCACGTGTCAATTCCTCGTTGACCTCTTCCAGGACCTCTCCTCCAGCCCGCAGGGCTGCTATGGAGCCAAGAGCAAGGTGCAATTGGAGTGGGTGGCGTTTATTCTGTTTGGGGTTGCTCTCGCCATGCTGGTGTTGTCATGTATCATAGCTTTGTACAGTTATCGTAGTAGGGGGAGGGAGGGGAGGGATCGGTTGGGGCTATGATGTGCATGTAAGATAAGTGGTTCCTCAATAATTGTGATAATAACTAGGATGTATGTTCATTCTTTAATAAAGTGCATGTTTATCAACGTCACCATCCTATTTATTTAATTGTGTTCCGTATCCTATATATCAGTTGTTGCCTTGAGCATGTACCGTAGTGTTGTCACATTTCCAGCTTGTCATTCAAATTTCCAAGGCTCCGCAAATGCGATCCCTCGAGTCTACCTGCGAGCCGCATGTGAAATCTCCCATCGAGGTGCCATGCCATCTCATCCAAAACCAATGCTCGAGGGCCAAGGGAACACGGCGGCGACAGCAGTGCTCGCTCACACTCTCCCCCCTCGAGTCGAGGAGGCCGCACCGCTCGACTCCAGCAGCTATTTTGCTGGGGAAGTCGCTCATGTGGAGAAATAAATTCACAGGTGCTCATCAGTCACTGGACTTTATCCAGAAAGACTGGGACTCGAGATACTGCAAGATTCAAAATCGAAACTTCTACAGGGTCTGTTAAAAATGGCAGGAGGCGGCATGGTTCCGGTGGCGCCAGGCTCGCGCCAGTTCAACGGGCGAGTGACGGCGTACGTCATCCTCTCCAGCCTCGTGGCAGCGAGCGGCGGGCTGCTATTCGGCTATGACATCGGCATCACAGGTGCGCGATCGGTCCGCGCTAACATCCAAATCAGATGCCCCCATTGTCACTCTAACGAGGGACCCTGCCCTGCTGTTTCCAGGCGGAGTGACAAACATGGATGGCTTCCTGGAGGCCTTTTTCCCCGCGGTGCTCACCAAGAAGCTGTCGGTGCACGAGAACTCGTGGTGCAAGTTCGACTCGCAGCTGCTGCAGCTCTTCACGTCCTCTCTCTTCATCGCCGGCATCTTCGGTGGGCTCATCGCGTCCGTCACCACGTCGCGCTTCGGCAGGGTGCGCACGATGCTGGTGGGCGGCATCTTCTTCCTCCTCGGTGCCGCGCTCACGGGATCAGCCGTCAACATCGAGATGCTCGTGCTCGGTCGAGTGCTGCTCGGGCTCGGCGTCGGCTCCGCCAACCAGGTACCACGTGCATTCATTATTGCGATTAACTCATCATATGCTAACCCCGGGTTCCGCCGTCTGTGTGCAGGCCGTACCTCTGTATCTCTCGGAAATGGCGCCGGCGCAGCTGCGCGGCGCGCTGAACATGATGTTTCAGATGGCGACAACGCTGGGCATCGTGGGCGGGCAGCTCATCAACTACGGCACGGCGCACCTCCACCCCTGGGGCTGGCGCCTCTCGCTCGCGCTCGCCGCCGTACCTGCCGCCGTGCTGACGGCGGGCGGCTTGTTCCTCCCGGACACGCCCAACAGCCTCGTGGAGCGCGGCCATGCAACCCGCGGCCGCCAAGTGCTGCAGCGGATTCGTGGCGTTGAAGTGGACGTGCAGGTGAGTGCCAGAGTCCACCGAATATCTTCTAGGATGCTCAGATCCGCTGGCCGCACGGAATATCTAACGATAGCTTTGCGCGCGCAGGAGGAGTTCGACGAGATTCAACGCGCGTGCCACGCCTCGAAGACGGTCAAGGCCCCATTCTTCGCCATCTTCCGCCGGAAATACCGACCCGAGCTTACGTGGGCGATCTTGTAAGTGGCTGTGCTCATCAACCTAGCAACTCAATGTCGGACGACATAACTGACCTTGTGGCGCGTGGCGCGACGGCAGGATCCCGGTGTTCCAGCAGTTGACGGGCATCAACGCCATCATGTTCTACGTCACGCCGCTCTTCCAGTCGCTCGGCTTCGGCGACAGCGCGTCGCTGCTCACCACCGTCATCACGGGCGCCGTCAACGTCGTGGCCACGCTCGTCTCCATCCTCACCGTCGACCGCTTCGGCCGCAAGTCGCTCTTCCTCGTCGGCGGCGTGCAGATGGTCCTCGCGCAGGTGCTGCTAATACCCTGCCAGTGCACGCAATGCTATCAGTGCGAGTGTCACACCGGCAAAGCTTACTCGCTAATGCGCAATCCTTGACACTGCGCGTCCCTCGTGCAGGTAGCGATCGGCGTGTTGCTGGGCACGACGTACGCGAGCGGGACGGGCAGCCTGTCGAGCGGGTACGCGACGGCCGTGGTGGTGGTGATCTGCGTGTACGTGGCGGGCTTCGCGTGGTCGTGGGGGCCGCTGGGGTGGCTGGTGCCGTCGGAGATCCAGCCGCTGGAGACGCGGTCGGCGGGGCAGAGCATCACGGTGGCCGTCAACTTCATCTTCACCTTCGCCGTCGGCCAGGCCTTCCTCTCCATGCTCTGCCACTTCAAGTGAGCCGCGCTCCACCACGCACCACGCTAGTTGCAAGGGGTGCAAGGAATTTGAGAATATGAAGGGTTTGCGCTGACGGGTTGTGATTGCCACTGTGTGCGCAGGTTTGGGATCTTCCTCTTCTTCGCGGCGTGGGTGGTGGTGATGACAATCTGCGTGATGCTCTTCCTGCCCGAGACCAAGGGCGTACCCATCGAGGAGATGGCGGGCGTGTGGCAGCGCCACTGGTTCTGGAAGCGGGTGGTGCCTGCTGCCGAGTCGGAAGGGGCAGCTATCAAGGCAGAAAAAGGAGACAAGAATCAGTCTGTCAGTGCAAGCAGCAATGGCGCCATGGAGGAGAAGGCACTTGTCTCGGGTGTCTGATGGGTGGCCCATCAACCTGGCATATGCTGGCATGAGATGCCATATGCTATAAATTCTTACATGTAGTAGATACTGTTTCGATTCTTGTTTGGTCGGGAAAAAATCTATCACTGTATTCCGCGTCCATCACCATACAAAACTTAGAAGCTGATCTGCTGACATAGCAGCTGAGACTAAGGTTGTCGAGAGTACAGCCTCTTGTGTTGGAATTCCTATTCATGACATGCCCTATCTAAACTCGGAACATGATGGGAGACGAATAGTGATGACTGCTGGATGGCTGCTGGCAAAGTGTAATACGGCTGGACGTGCCTGGAATGAGCTCCATGAGGGACTGATGAAGCTGGACGTAGTGGGATGATGCAGGGGAGGCTCAGGAGTAGAGCGGAGGGTGCAACGGTATTGACTGTGGGGTTGGATGGCACTAAAGTAAACGCACGCAGCTGAGCCAACAAGAAAGACAATGGCTCAGAAAAGAGATGTGCTCTTGCCCTTCTTGTCTCCGCCAATCTCGAAATGCTTGCAACGCTGCATGCAGACAGGCAAACAAGGCCGAGGAGGGAGAAAAAGGGGGGACAGAAAGAGAGGAGGGGGGGTAGAGAGAGGGAAAGAGAGAAAGAAAGGTGGACCCGTGGTTGGGGTAGGTGAGAATGACAGTTAGGAAGATCACAGGTAACTGATAGCCTTCGCCTCACAAAATTGGAAGGAAATATAACTGATAACCCATTGTGATCAGATATAGTGAACCCCAACCGCCAATCTTGCTCCATGCTAGCGCTGGCTCCAATAGCCCTGCACCACCATGATCCTCCGCGACCACTCAACCCGCCACGCCACACCTCCTCCACCCCCCACACCCGCTCTTCCCCCCGCTCCCACTGCACTTGCGAGCGCGCGCTCACCTTGATGGGCGTTTGGTGCATGTGCTTGCACGACTGGCACTGCAGCCTCAACACGATCTTCTTCGTCGTCTTCGCCTGCCCGTTCCAATTGCGGGCCACGCCCAAACGGGGACGTGAAGAGCAGGCACCGGGGTAAGGGAAGGTTGAAGGGAGGGAGCAGGGATGAGGGAAGCGTGAGATTGAGAGGAAGGCAACGGAACGGGGCGAGGAAGTGCAGAGCAAGAGCACATCAAATGAGCACGACCTGTGAAAGCGTACTCCACAATCAGGGTATTCCATGCACATCCACGCACGCATCCACCACCCGCTCCTCTTCCGTTTTCCTCTCCCTCCCCTCGACCCCTCTCCCTCCCTCTCCATTTCCCAACTACCTTACTCTACATTTCCCCTCACCCTCCCGACCCTCCTCTCCCTACCTCTACGATTCCCTTCCTCTAAGTTTCCCCTCCCTCTCTCAATCCCTCTCCTTTCCCATCTCCACTTCTCTCCTTTCCTCCACTTCCCTCTCTTTCCGCTCCCTCTCCCTCTGCTTTCCCTCCCTCTCTCCCTCCCAACAGCAAATACCCGCACCCCCCCGGGCCCCGGCGTCAGTGCCACGCACCTTCTTGTGGAAGACGGGCTTCGTCTGCCCTCCATAGCCCGACTGCTTGCGGTCGTACCGCCGCTTTCCTGCGCCGCACGTGGGAAGCGGGGAGGGGCACGAGGGACGGGAAGCGAATAGAAAGGAGGAATGGAGAGGGGAGAGGGGGAGAGAGGGGGGGGGGGGAGAGGGGGATGGAGGAAAGAGAGGGGGAGGTGAAGGAAGTGGGGGACGGGGAAGGCGGTGGGTCGGGACGGGAGGGAAGGGGGTGTGGAAAGGGGAGGAGGGGAGGCATAGAAGGTTAGGGGAGTGCATAAAATGGTAAAGAAGTTACATGCAGAGGAAATGGGTCATCAAGTTATTGTGGCGACAACGAAGGCGAGAGGCAATGAGAGCAGGGGCAAAGGTAGAGATGTGAGGGAGAGGAGGGGGGGCGGCAAGCAAGCGGAGGCGGGTGAGAGACGAGGGCGGAGGAGCGCACCTTGCGCGTAGACGCTGTCCTTGCCCTTCTTGTACTGCGTGACCTTGTGCGTGGTGTGCTTCTTGCACTTGCCGCCGCAGTACGTCTTCTTCGTCTTCGGCACGTTCACCTGCCACGCGCGCGCACCCACACGCGTGCCGAGAGACCCGGGCGACATGGGGGACGGGATGCGGCCGGGCCAGCAACAGGAATTCGGAAGGAGAAGGGCGGGGTGAGGGGTTGAAAACGGAAGGTGGTGGTGGCGGAAACACACGCTGAAATCAATTCTCGATGCTGGAATGGGTTGGAGGGACGCGCGTGGGACTATGAGAAGGGAAACAGTGCGCCGCACGAGTGACGACGCGTAGACTGCATTAACCAGAGCTAGGCGTGATGCGACGGCCACGAAGCAGGCTGCCGCGGCTGTCTCGTTCCAACAACGAGCACTATTGCGACCCAACTATATGACGCGCGAACACGGCCTTATAAACACGAACGAGAGGGAGTGGTCGAGCCTAAGCAGCTGCTCGTGCTTCCCCGTGCGACGAGGTCGCCACGATACACAGAGCTGCAAGTTGAATTCAGAGGACGGCGACTTGCTCCTCGCCTGCACCTAGCGGAACTAGGACGTGAATCGGACCATCTTACATCGCCCGGCTCAAGAATCCTAGAAAGGCTGGAGCAGCTGAAACGTGCCATACGCAGCTACGCGTGAGATCCAAGACATGGGGACGACCCATCAACTAGCTAAACGAATCCTGTGTTGCATGTGACGCTTATGAGAGAATTCTTCCTTCCTTGAACGCGATTGCCTTGAAAGCAGACTAGGTACGCCATAAGCATCATTCAGACTCACCATGGCTGCTCGGTTGAGATGAACGAGGGGATGAGTGTAACGGAACCAAGCAGAAAGGTGATGGTGAGGGAAAGCAGCAGAGATGCAGTGGCTGGGAGCGGCAGCGATTAGGGTTGGTGGAGAGGAATTTGAGGGGTGGGTAACCAGAGCGTTGTTAGGGAAAGGGAAGAGCAAACTGTCGCGCCTGGTGCCGAGCTGAAAAGAAAATTGGATGAGGAAGACATGGGAGAATCCGTGTGGTAAACCACCACTGCGGTCAAGTGGAATTGAACAAAAACCTCCTTACTGTCGACCTCACCTGTCATAAAAAAAATGATGAGAAAATGTACGTGATCATATCACGATGTAGGAAAACTTCCTAAATCACCTTTGGACCACAGGCAATACAAAACCTACTATGGAACAGGACAATCATAGCACCCAGAAGTTAAAATAACTGATGGATCAAATTGGACAGGATACCCCTTGGTCTTTAGAGGGTACACCCGCACCGCACGCGTGTGGTCATCCACGATGGTCAAGATGTAGCGACTGCCTGTGAGAGAAGGGGCCCTCGTAGGGCCCACCACATCCATGTGCACAAGCCCAAGTTGGGCCTTGGCTGGTCCTGTGCTGCTGCTGAAGGGAAACTTTGTGAATTTAGTCTCAAGGTATGTAGGGCAGCTCCCATTCTCTTTCGCAGCCCCCTTCACCTCCAACCCTTTCAAGCTCCCATCCTTCACCATTTTCTGAAGCATAGGAATGTTGACATGACAAAGCCTCTCATGCCATGTCTCCTAATCGGCATCACCACTCCCTGATGAAGCCTTTGCCCATGCAGCTGTCCCATCCACACCAACAAGCACCTCACCATGTGGCTGCTGTGGCTGCTACACTTTCTTGACTGCATCTTGGGCCCCAACCACAAACTTGATCATCCCAGGGGGTTTTACCTCGTCAAGCAAATGTGCCCGTGGGATCATATGACTTGTGCAACCTGAATATATTACCCAGTGAGTGAGGGGGTGCATCACAACCTTCCCAACCGAACCCACATCACCCCCACTCCCTTTCACATCCTCAATCATGAAGAACATCCCAGGGGACGCTTTACCATGTGCACCTTCACCTTGTGCACCTGAACCTTGCACAGCGCCACCTTGTGCACGTTCACCACTTGGCGGCTTCATGCCTAGGGGCGCCCAGCCCTCACGCCGGCTCAAACACTGGAACCATGGGTGGCCAGCCTTCTTGCAGTACCAGCAGGCACCCTCCATTATGGTGCTCCCCCTGCCACTAGAGCTCCCATGCCTTTCATTATAGTCACCTCAGCCTTTTCCTCTGCCAAAGCCTCTCCCATGGCCTCGGCCTCTCCCACCCCCTCTTCCTCTGCTGCCTCCTGCAGCTCCATACCCCTCAGCTGTCTTGTTGGCAGCACCACCTCCCGTGTGGCGCCTGCGGAAGTCTTCCTGCAGAATCTGCTGTCGTAGCCACTCAGGCGTCCACTGGTCCTTCTGAGAGTTGAGGGTAGGTATAAGGTTGTCCCATGTGTTGTCAAGCACCGAGATGATCTTGGTGCACTGCTGCATCTGCGACACATTGCTGCCCGCCGCTGCCATCCTCGCATAGGTGCCCTTGATCTTGTTTAGGAACGGCTTCACATTATCTCCCGGCCGCATGGAGAGAGCATCCAACTCCTTCTCCAACACAATCACCATCGGCAGCGTGTTGGGCTGAATGATGTCGCGTAGTAGCTTCCACGCCTTCGGCCTGGAGTCGTCTAACTCAACTAAATCCTTGATGTGCTGGAACATGTCGTTGTTGGCCGATTGTATGATGAGGTCGAACAACACCGCGCTCTTCTCAATCCACCGATCGCGGGCATCTCCTTCCTCTGGCATCTTCTCTCCCCCCATTGCACGTTTCAGCAGCTTGTAGCGCTTGAAGGCGCTCCTCATCCGCCCGCTCCATTCACCATCATTGGAGCCATCCAACGCCTCAATCTTGGATGGTGGCGGATCACTTCTTTTCTAAGCTGCATCTCCACTCCCTTGACTCATCTTCTCTTTACCCAACAGCTCCCCCCTTGCTGTCCACACTGAAGACCCACGAAATTTTCACAAGTGTCAGCGCCAACGAAATTTCGGCAGAGTTTCCCCTTAGCGGGAGTCACATCCAACCTTTAGATCTCCACTGAGGCACACCCACAGGCCATGGTGGGTCTAGAATGGTCTTCACACCTCAGTAGACTCTCCACAAAGTCCTTCATCAGCTCTGATACCACTAATAGGATTCAGGACGTAGTCTATGAAGATTAGGTGCCGAAATAGCTCAAAATCGCTGGACGATAATTCTGGACAGAAAAATCCACTTCACAAGAATCGCCTTCGACGAAAAGTTCACAGTTTAAACTTCCTTAGTTTCAGATATGTTGTAGCATTAGACCGTAACTACTATTCCCAATTTGAGTCATATCGAGAGGTGAAGTAAATCTGGAGTTATGAATTTCAGCGCACTGGGGAGTAAGCTGTCACAGAAACTTAATCACAATAGTTCAACCAAGATCCACGCAAGAGAATTAGAGTAGCTAGAAACCAGGTGGGAGGGGATGGGGAGGACGACAAAGAAGGTCCTCAAGGAGTCCCTAACCAAGGAAACCCCATAAACACACAATACCCCTCCCTATTGGCACCCGAACTTTGACCTGTCACTTTCCCAACCCATGCCATCCACCTCATCCAACTTGGCCACACGTTCCAACCTGGTTTGGCTTCTCCCAACCACTTGGCAGCAACTACAGTAGAAGTGACGACTTTCCCAACCCCCAAAAGTCTATGCCTCATATAGAGTCACTCTACCAATTCCCATAGTCATCCCATCACAATCAAAACTTCGAACGATCATAACTTTCTCGTTCTTGCTCCGATCGCGACGATTCTTGGTTCGTCGGAAAGCTCTTGAACAGGGAAGTCATTTCAGATATATGATCAAATAACATTCATACACACTCACAATTTCCAGACAACACCGAACACATTTTTTGCACACGCTCACACCATGCATGCAATGCACGAACATAAGATGGGAGGCAGACAGACGTGAATGCAAATGATGGCGGGCGTCGTACATCACGCACGTTGTTAAGAGTCTCCCGAGCGGCTACAACCTCATGCGCCGGATGCTGTTGATGCCTGGTATGCAGGAGTCACTCGACGAGGACTCCCTCACCAGCCACATCATTCGAGATGAGGCGATGCATGAGGCAAAACGGCCCACGGAGCTCCTTCCGCAGGCGAATTACGCCGCCCCGACGAAGCAGAGTCGCCACCAGGGGCACCGCGGGAAGCCGGGCGGAGGTGGAAGCGGAGGTGGACGGTCGACGAAGGACGACGACGAGAAGAAGTCGACGAGGGACAAGAGTCGTCGAGGTGGTGGTCGACGGCAAGAGTGCTGGATCTGCGGCGACCCCGACCACTTATCCTTCGAATGTCCCGATCACGACGACAGCAACGAGGACGACAACGAGGGAGGCCGGGGACGGTCGGCCAGTCGTCGTCCACGTCGGGATGAGAAGCTGCGCAAGAAGAAGCAGACGTCAAAGTAGGCGTCGTCAACGAAAGACGTCGACTCCTTTAGCGGCAAGGGCCGAGGCGACGGGGAGGCGCCGTGCTCGATGGTCGGCGTGGTGGAGCCGACATTCTCGCTGGCGCCTGAGGCAGGCGAGGACTTAAAGGCGGTCGCGGCCGCCGTGCAAGCCAACCATCTCATGGGGACGAGGGAGGTCTTCATCTACATGACGCCGAGCGGTGACATGAAGCTTCAACGGGGCGTTGCAGCCCATCGAGGGCCACGGCACTGTCGCTCTGCAAGGGGAGGCCGGGAAGCAGGTCCTCATCCCCGACGTACTCTACGTCCCGGGCGTGCAGGCGAACCTGCTGTCAGCCGGCCAGTTGCAGGAGAGCGGTGTGAAGTTGCACGCCGACGGCGATGAGATGTTGCTCGTGTCGAGTGTTGGCGAGGTCCTCGGCCGAGCACGCTACAATGGCCGCGTCCTCTGCACCGACATTCGCCCCTGCTCGACGCACTCGCCATCGACCAAGGTGGTGGCTCTGCGAACGATCGCTTCAGCAACAAAGTCGACCCCCAACCGGTGGCACGCGAGGCTCGTGCACGTCGGCGTCGACACGATCAAGAGTTCGGCGAAGCATGAAGTCGCCACCGGCCTCGACATCAACCCGTCGATCGGGGCTGACTTGCCGTGTGTTTTGTGCGTCGGCGGGAAGCTGGCGCGGCAA